AAAGATGCTGGGACATATAATATTCTTACACCAATTACACCAACTCTTTAGATCATTTTAGAATTTGTGTAAGAATAGTTTGACAATGTAAGGAATGTATAAAGGATAGGCATTGGTACTGTACAGTATAGAGTGCTAAGTACAAGCTGTAATGATAGAAAACCTTTGATATGTGCATCGTCAGCCCATAGATACGTCGTAAAAATGGATAGATGTAGAGTTAGCGAGGGTCAGTGGAATGTTGTATGGCAAGAGTACTTTGTCTATTGAAAATGTTCGGTGGGCTCTGTGGGTGCTTGTTGAATTTCATTTGCTTTGAATTGAGAGTGACTACGAATTTTTGTCAGTGGTTTTGATAACGAAATAATGCACAAATATTTTGTGTACAGTTTTTGCTTTACTTTACCGTCATGTCCCTTTGTATTCAAGTTCAGTTTTTACCAGCAAGGAAAAAGCAAGTTATACAGAGTTGTATTTTTGTATGTAGTAGTTCTTGCAGAACAGTAACACATTTTAACACTGGTTTACGTTTTCTTAACAGGTAGTGCTGCTAGCACACACAAACACAAACAAACACACTCTCCGACTTTCTCAGGTTCTTGTTATGGATGTCCGAACCATTCGGGCACAGTTTGCACATCCCTGGGTTACTAACTGACCACATCACAACTCCTTCAGGTTTTCTTTCAAGCTGTTCCACGGTCATGTCATTGATCATAGTCTACTGTCATTCCTATTTATCAAATGTATGTTACTGTAGTCATTACTGTCTAAAGATAAACTGCCTCTATGAACTGTTTTTTGCCAGCAACCTTTAATAGCTAGATGGCGATTGTCTGCTCGATTAAGCACTGTGTGAAATTTCAAATGGATAATGACTCATATCTGGTGTCAGTGGTGCATACAATGCAATGAAAGCTCCAAATACTTTAGGCATAGAGGTTTACGATTTAAAATGACGACTGCTTTAGTCACATTACACTTGATACAATCACTGTACGCTTTTTCATGAGTTCACCAGTTTGTAATACATTTCAATCTCATAACATAGAACTGAAGTCCACTGTTGAGCTTTTAGAAGTTTCACTGTTTTAAAAAAAAAAAAAGAACCAACGTAGCTTGATCCATCATATAACTCAAATTACACACATGTTCCTGTGTCATTTGTTTTTAGCAACACAATCATGGCATTATACTTACGTATGAATGCTGGCATTGGTGTCTTATTATTGTGTTGCACCAGTTGAATAAAAAGCAGCTTTTTTGTGAATTTCGGTTTTGACTCATTTATGAGTGTGATTGACAAATTAATGAATCATTCCAGTGAATGTGTAGGTATTAATTTTTGGAATGAGGGAACTTAGATGCAATACAATTGCGGTTGTAATTTGTTATAATACTTGCATTCTGCCACACAGTCTTGTCTCAACGATATGCTTCTATTTTATACCAGCAAGAGAACAATTCTTTTTTTGTTTAAATAAATCAATATTTTTTGTATTACTAAATTTGTGTTATTAGTCTGTTTCATTATAAATAAACCAGTTTCTCTGAATTTGTAATGGAGCATTTAAAACATGGCCTACTGGGCTAATCTCCAAGGACACGGTGGATCACACTCTACAAAGGCCGTTTTACAGGAGTGTTGGGAGCATAATGAGTCCAGGTTTTACAGTTTTGGGTGGATCAGGAACGCTAAGGCACCAAATGTAGGCCTAGGTAATCTAAAACTAAGCCCCATTGTTCTATCATCAACAATAGCTCCTTGGAGATTCATCATGCCATCGATAGATACAAGTCTGCAGCAAAAACTAAAAGAGAAACCTAAACTGGTATACCAATGGGGACAGTGGTACAAAATTATATTGACAACATTATCAACACATCATCAAGACCCAAAAACAGGCCATACAGGTTTTCCGTTCTTCATCCTGTATTGTGACATAGCAGTGACAAAGAGAGTATCAGAACATCTGTCATTATACACAGCCAAATTAATAGGAATACTGTTCATAATAGAGTGGGCGGAAGAAAACAATTTAATAGAATTATTGCTTCTCATAGCTTATCAGCATTTCCGAGCATCAAATCAGGGAAGTCATCATGCGGGCAGGATATAGTTTATGAGGTTCATCACATACAACATGTGCTACATTATTGGGGATTGGATGTTTCCTTCCTTTGGGTTCCTGCTCATGTAGGAGTGAAAGGAAATGAGAAGGTAGATGTATTCTACGGTGGCCCACATAAAACAACAGCAAGTTGACATACAAGTACAATTAAATAAAGTAAAAGTTAAAAGGATCATAAAGGATCATATACGCAAAACTTGGCATGAATACTGGGACTTATGTGACACTGGAAGACATCTTTACATTATACAAAACAGGCAGGACTATGCACTCATTGTAATAAACCAGAACATGTCAATTAATATACACAATACAATATTACATTGGAGAATCTACTCATGGAAAGTACATAATTGTTTAATTAATTATTTAAAATAATAATAATAAAAAAAGGAATAACAGAGAGAATTTAGTTTGTTTCATTAATTAGTTTATTTTCTTGCTAATCTACTGCTCCACCCTCCAGTCCAGCAGGTGGCGGTAATGCACCTACAAGCTGGTTTGCCAGCCGCCATTAAGACCCGAGGAAGAAGCACAGTCTCAAAGTCCACCAGCAGGCGGCGGTAAAACGTCCTCCCGCTGTTTGTCAAAAACATCAAGAAGAAGAGTCGGCTTCCATTAACAGTCTGCTGTGGCTAGGTCAATGTTAGCTAGGTAACAGCAATGGTTGTTCTCTCTGTTGGATATTTCCCTCCTTACTAACTCGACATGGGCAAGAGAGACAATAGAGTGGTGAGTGTTACAAACTGTGTCTTAATTTACGTTTGGGGAGCTTAGCGTTAGCGCAGCAGCTAGCACAGGCTATCTGCCTCCGCTCTGTGTTTCTGATACGCTCAGTGGGCCCAGAGACAGTGGTCACTGGAATAACACGTGAACGCGTCTGAAAATACTAAATAATGTTTCCTTCTTTGCTGTGGTCGTTTAGTAGGTTTGAATTGCTTGGTGCTTCTCCATCATGTCGTAGCTAACGTTACAACGCGGGTGTCTGCCTGCTGGTGGAGCTGCGCACAGCTGCTAACGCTAACTTGAGCCAGCTCATCACGTTTTGCACAGTGTTTGGACGCGGTGTTGTTGCGCAGTGTTTTTGTTGTCGTTGCTCTTCGGTGGCACTAATGGCCTTGACACAGTTGCAGTGAGCTGTTGGGCTAACAGCGAGGCGGCCCTTACGTTTTCCCAGTGTTCTTGTTTTCTGTCAGCGAATTGCTAATGCCAAGTTAACCATTTAATCACCGGTGCACATATTTTCTCCTGCTGACGTTGCATGTGTCCTCTGTAGATTTGCTCTGTTAATATGTACATACAGTGTAGTGCAGTGTGTCGTTGGGTACACATAACTAAACACTGTAAATAAGTGTTGCTGTCTAATCCAACGTCCCTGCAGCAAATCCTTCTTCATTCTTAGTCCTGTCCTATGGCATAACTGTGTAATCTCAGTCTCTAATAGTCTGGCATCTGTCTATTTCAGTAACCTCCATTTGAAATGTGTATTATAATACTAATAATGATGCTTTCCTCTGTTTGGTTTTGCAGGCTTACATTAACCCCATTGCTGCTGCACGAGCCAGGGGACCGGCACAGAACTCGGGGCCATCCATACAAGATTATTTAAGCAGACCCCGACCAACATGGTGAGTAAAGGACAGACCTCCTCGTGTCACCCTGACGTACAGATCTTGCTTCTTTGTGACGAAAACAGACACAGCTGCATTCTTCTGTTATTTCTGAGTATTGCGTTGCGTTCGAGTACCAGCAAGATGTAGCCCTTTTGCTGTAAAGGAGCAGTGTGCCATTCTTGTTGAGTGCAAAAGTATGTACTCTATCGTTTATTCTATGCTGTTTAGATGAACTGGACTTGCTTTCAGGGCAGTGTAAAGCATTTTGTAAAGACTTTTTAAAGCGCTATACAAAAAGTTGTTATTATTGTTGCTTTTGTCTAGTTTGATGTAATAACACTCGTCCTCATTAGCTCAGTTGCTGATACTCAGCGCATCCTTGCATTTTTCTAAAAAGCATTTGAAGAGCAAAGAAGATTGAGAGTAGAGAGGGAGGTCTGCTGGAATTTGATAGCCGTGTGTCAACTAGGGGTTGCTTCATTCACTGCACCATTGGATCAGTTAGACCATGCAGCCTCATCATCTCTTTTACTTGTGTATGTGTATTTGTATTTATTGGTCGCATTGACCGTACAGTTGGAGTTTTCTGATCTTTTCTTCCCACTGTGTTATTTTTCTTCAACATAATTTAGTTGAAATGAAATCAACCACTTTGCCACAGGCCGGCCCATTTCATTATCTGCTACTCCACTGCCAGTATCCAATTTCCCTTTTGCAATATTCCAATGTGTTTTCAATCCAATATTAAAGGAGTAAAGGGGACATCGGTGTCTGTTAGTTATATGTAGGAATTATAGTTAATTATAACTGTTTGAAAAACAGAATAATCTTAATTCATTAAACAAATGTTAGAGAGTTCAGTTCAGTTTGTGTAGGTGTGATCCTCTTAAAGGTCTATTGTGTATTCAAACTGAGTTGTTGTCTCTTCAACAGGGAAGAGTTAAAGGAGCAGCTGGAGAAGAAGAAGAAGGGCTCTCGAGCCCTCGCCGACTTTGAGGACAAAATGAACGTTGTATGTTTGTGTTGTGCAGACTGACATTTTGACCTTGAACGCTCACCAACTGTTTCTTCACATTCATTTCAATTCCAGCTAGGATGATTTGATACTTTTTTTTTGATGTTTTCAGAAATGGAGGAAAGAACTGGCGAAAAACCGAGAAAAGCTGTTGGCTGGAAGCGACAAAGAGAAAGACAAAAAGACAACAGACAAGGAAAAAGAGGAGAAGAAAGAGAAAAAAGAGGTAGGGTGTTTTCCTGTATTAGACATTTCCATGCTCTCACTCTTAAAATGCACCTTTACTCACTCTGGCTTTTTGTTTGTGTTTTAGAAAAAGAAGAAAGAGAAGAAGAAATCCAACAGGGTGAGGAGAGACCTCCAGTATTCTGATGGCCAGCTGTGCCACAGTACTGCTCCACACACACACACACACACACACCCTGCCTGTCCTCTGAGACTGTCTCTTATTTAATGTTGTGTAGTAGTTTCCAAACAAGCGAATAACCTCAAGTCTAATGAACCCTGCTTTCATTGTGTTTTGGTCAAGCATTCTTCATCTTCCTCCTCCTCATCGAGTTCTGATTCCTCCAGCAGCTCCTCCTCAGAATCTGAAGACGAAGTAAGTCATTACAGACTCCAGCGTGTGATAGTAGATCTTGCCATCCACTGAATCCTAAAAACATGTTATGACCTTTTAATCCAAACAGCTGCAGTTTACGAGCACGGTGCTCCTGAAATAGAGACAACGAGCCAAAGCTGCTCTGCTTGATGACGCACAAAACTAATTAATTATAAACGTGGGCTGCAGGTTGCTCATGATGCTCTGTTATAAATTCATTCTAGGAATAGGTTCCTCCTTCTTGTAATCAAATTTAGTAAAAGTGGGGGATTATTAGCAGGATAATAATTTCAAACTACATCAGTTTTTCTTTCACTGAGCAGACAACACATTTTTTTTATGCTAAAAATCTTGGTTTCCATTTTCTTTTCAAAGATTACATTGGTTTGTTGTCTTATAGAATACACTTGCATCAATACTACTTATTGATATTTCTTTTCTCTTGTCTTTATTTGCTTTTGTGGTGTAATCCAAGAGTAACAGAAAGTAATCAAGTTGCGTTACTTTAATGTTGTAACACTTGGATTAGATTACTGAATACATTAGTTTTGCTGTAACTGTATCCTCCCAACCCTGCTGTTTTTAATAAAGAGCAGTGGGGCTGTTTTGATAGTCTGGAGAGAATCTGTACACAGTTGATAACTGATCAAAACAAAACTNNAGTGCAGCACTACATTCATTGTATTTCTGTTTGTTTGTGCAGGATGAAAAGAAGAGTGTGAAGAAAAAACGTAAGAGAAAGAAGTCATCGGCCAGGAGGGCATCAGACAGTTCAGAGGAAGAATCTGATTCTGAAATCAAGGTTTTTCTTCTTTTTATAGCACAGTTGGTTTCCTTTGTGTCTCTCCACTTCAGTAGAATCAGGTTGTTGTGTTGAAAATGTGCACCTGCCCTAGAATAGTTTTTAAAATGCCAGCATTTAATATAAATGTTTTTCTTCCCAAGAAGAAAAAGAAAAGAATCAAGGAAGAAGGGGAGAAAGATAAGGTATTAGTTACTCTTATTCAGTGTTTGTGTGTGTGTGTGTGTGTGGTGTGTGTGTGTTGTGTGTGTGTGTGTGTGTGTGTGTGTGTGTGTGTGTGTGTTACCACAGACGTTTGAGACTTTCATATATTGCATTTCCTGTCCCTTGTTCTTCGCAGTCAAATTGAGTCTTAACTGCCTGTTTGTAAAATATAATTGTGATGTAACTCTTGGGTTTTTCAGGATGACAAGAGCCGTAAAAGGAAGAGGAAGGCCGAGCGAAGTTATAAAGACTCATCTTCAGAGTCCTCTGTGGACTCTGAGGGGGAGGAGGTAGTGAGTATTATTCTTGTGTGATTGTAGATGTTAATGAACTGCCAATAGGACCAAACATTTAAGAAGAAGAGAACGTTTAATTCAACACATTTTTCACTGTTGTTCACAGCTGTTTGTGACAAAATGTTATTTACTGGCAGGTTTGCTAGTAGTCCCACTTGCACTGAATAAAGCAAACTCCCAAAACACTCAATAATTCAATAATAGACCTTTTTCACAGCTCCACAAGCAGCTATTTTGACAATAAGGAAGGTTGCCAGTCTTGTTGGCCTTTCTGGAGGGGAAATTTCTTCTCCCTTTTTAAAAGGTGTCCCTACGGAGTGTGTTGTTTCAGTGCAGCCTTTGGCCAACCTCAGTTTGACCCTGAATCAATCCTTAGTTTTCCTTGTCTGTACATTCTATGCAAATTACATCATTTCTCATGCTGACCAGGAGCTCAGCCCTGCCCTCCCCTTGGTGGTATTTCACTGTGGGCAGGGCTGAGCTCCTGCACACNNGAGACACAGCACAGAGACACAGAGCAGAGAGTTGACGTCGGAGCACTGCATGAAAGTTTTGTGAGTAAATCACTTGTTCAGCAGCACTTGTTGCCGTCTTCTACACGTTCTTCTTCTTCCTATGGCTTTTAAAGGCAGACTTGAATATGTATAGGCGCATATGCTGCACCGACGGGTCCGGAAGAATTGCATCCTCAGTACCTGCAGTACTGTAGAAAGACGAGTGCTATCAAGTTTTCAAAATGTTGGCATCAACTTGGTACTGAGTATTGGTTCTCGTGACATCCCTAACCTTTCACACAGGACTAGAAAGCGCTTGCATGTAGGCTGTCCATCGGTTTAATCTCTGGTGTGCTTTCTTGCAGGGGAATGAGTCAACATATCATTAGGACGTAGTTGGCACTATTTCTTAGATTGGCTCTGTGTGTGAGGATTCATAACCAAAATTAATGAATCAGCGACAATAAAATAGTAAAAGTAAATTTCCCCTTTCTGCCTGGGAAAAACAACAGGTTCAGCACAGTGAACAGAGATAGAAGATGGATCCGGTCATATAATTAGTTTGACTTCTCCGCGTTCATTCATGTACTGCAAGCTTTCTCTGTCACTCTTCACGGAAAGTCTGATAATTGATATTTAAGTGACAGTTTAATTTTATAAAGTTAATGTAATTCAATATTCCTATTTGCCAGAGGCTGGCAGGGTTTGATCAGCATTCAACCTAAATCAGAAAGGGGGTTGTGACCCCTGGTTGGCTCATTCAGATTGACAGCTACTACTAGTTCAACTCCTGTCCCTCCAAACATCACGTGAGGCAGACTGCACACTGCACCTGAGGGAGTGGGAAATAGCGAGTGACTGGCCAAGGTGGTAGAATTAGCAATCAGGAAAAAATGTATTGTACTACGTGAACCACCTACATCTAAAAAATTTAGCCCTCACTTCAATGGTTTAACGCTGACTTATTTTACTGCGCTGTAAAAGCAAAACACCCCTAAAGTGAAAGGGTTTCCACAGTTTGACTCAGAAACAGATAACGTTATGAACTCGGTATGGTGTAGAACTCTGTTGTAAACCTGTAAAACTGTAGAAAGTCCCTAATTGTGTAACAACAACGTTGCATAAAATGGGCTTTTTATTGTTGGATATAGCTCAATACTTCCCTCTTTTCCTTTTTCATTTAATCTTTAACCTCCCATAGGCAGAAGCCAAGAAGAAAAAGAGAAGTAGCGAAGAAAAGGAGAAAATCACAGTGAGAAATGTTTAATCCAACTGTAAAATAAGTGATTGATTTAAGAGAAAACACTAGGATAAAATGTGAAATGTTTTATGTCCACAGGACAAATCCAAGAAGAAGAGGAAAAAGAAGCACAAGAAACACGGGAGAAAAAAGAAAAAGAAGGCAGCATCTCAGTCAGACACAGAGCTCGACTAACAACCGTAGCTTTACGGTTCTCTCGTCCTCCTGACAGTTCACTAGTAGTGTTATTTTTGCCTTTTGAATTCTAAAAACTTCTCCCATCCAGCGCTGGTCATCACGCTTGACCATCAGACCTACAGACTTGCAATGCTGGGGTTCTGTGAGTGAAGTGAAATGGAGGGGAGGCACCCATCCCTCTCAGTGGCAACTACTGGTACATATCTTCCGTTGATTCTTATCACCATGCTTTTTGTAGATAATTGTTCCTCGAGTTACACTCAACAACAGGACTGACGTGAATTCCACATATTTTTTTCCTGCCTTCATCTTGAAGATTTAAGTGTGGCCGGCACTTTCACCTCCAGCGTGCAGGCCCTCTCGGATTTAACTTCCTCCGCTTCAAACCCGTTATCCTAACGTTTCTAGTTGCTAGATGAGGCTGTTATGCTAGTGCCTGCGTCATGCATGTAGACCCGATGTCTCGCCAGCCTCATATTGAAGTTGGACTTATGATAAGAAATGTGAGCTACACAGTCAACATTTATACAAGGGATATTTGTTCTAAATTGTTACACTGCAGTGTAAATGTACAAACAATGGGAATTCATTAATAAAGTATTGTTTTAGCCTTTTTTTTGCTTTGTTACAACCTCTATTGCGAGACTTTTGTTTCAAACCATGCATTCATACGGTCCGATTACACTCGCCCACTGGATTTGCTCATTGTTACACTGCCTTGTCTTTATATGAAACCGTTATAGATGTTGCTCTGCACTCTCACTTCCCTAAAACTTAAATTTGAGGTCAGCAGTATTGTAAAAAACACAAGATAACCAACCCACATGATTCCACATATGCCATTGTGTTTTCTTTCTCACCATTACAGCTCGGGTTTTAAAAGTAAAGGATTAATATAAAAATACTTACTAAGTAAAATTCTTGCGTCATCTTCAAAATGTACTTAATATATTAAAAAGTAAAGGCACTCAGGGTGATGATTATCATTATATAGTGTTAATATTTCTTATGTGTGCAGCATTTTACTGTTGTAGCTGGGTGAAATTGAGCCAGTTTAACAGTTTTGAATGTAAAATCTGCAAAGTAACTAGAAATGTGGAGTAAAAAGTACAGTATTTGCCTCTTAAATGTAATTATGTACAGTATTTGAGTAAACTCCACCTTTGTATCTATTAAATTTATAAAACACTGCTTTTCTTGCTCATCACCTACTGTGGGGTTTAAAACGTCACATTTGAATAAAGTTTCTTCTTAACTTCTTAATTTTAAAGGAGGTTTTACAGGCAGATCTTGTGATTGAAACAGTCTAATGGTATCAAAGGTTAGTGTGAGCTTGTAAAGTCTTTCATGTTTAACCTTTAAGGTGAGTGATTACTCAACCCCTCCTCTCTAACTCAAAGCATTGTCAACAAGCACTAACTAGTTCCTGAAAGACATCGGACAGTCACAGGACACAGGGCTGGGATATAAAGTCTAGTCTCCATATTTTGCTCAGTGGGAGGGTCCAACCTGCCATATAAAGAGCACTGAATCTCTGGTTTGTTTCTGAGGAAGTGTGAGACGTACGACAGGAAGCTGCCGAGAAGGTAAATTAAACAAAATCTGCATCTGCAATCCTTTATTGGTGTAACTGTGAGTATAGTGTTTTATAAACGTCATTATTACTGTTGTGTGAGGTTGTTTAAAGTGTAAGGAAGATCTTAAGTACAAGTTAAAGTGAAACTGAAACTTAGAGCAACCAAATGGACAAACTGATGTGAAGTTTCACATTCAATGCTCAAAATCTGAACTTTTGTGAATTGTGTATCACATTAAGCTGATACAAATATGCTTAACATTAATAGTCTCTTCTGCAGATGTTGAGGATAACTCTGTTGATGTTAGTGGGAGTGTTTGTGGTGGAGTTTGCATCCTGCTCCATCACATGTCCTGACGGTAGTGTCTGCACTGATTTCGAAACCTGCTGTGCGACTAGGCATGGATATAGCTGCTGTCCATATCCAAAGGTAAGTCAAGTGTCAAGTCACATAACCTGTAGTTATTAAGATTAACATTTGGGTCTGGAAGATTGGAATGAATATTTCTTCCTTAATCTCTGTACGTGTCTGTCTTTATGTGTCTTTAGGCTATGTGTTGCCCTGACCTGGCCCACTGCTGCCCTTCAGGATTTAGCTGTAACCAGGCCACCCAGCTGTGTGAGAAAGAAAACCAGCCGTGGATGAACACACCCATGGTGAAGAAGGAGGCAGCAGAGGAGCCGAGGACTCCTGTATCTCCCCCTCAGGAGGTTGAGAGCAACCATGTCCTAGACCAAAAGAGTTCAGTTGTCCATTGTGACAACTATTACCTCTGTCCCGATGCCACAACCTGCTGCAGACACCCAACAGGTGTCTGGTTCTGTTGCCCGTACTCTCCTGTGAGTTGACTTTTGCACATGACTGGGATGAAATTCCTTTTATCTGCTACTGACATTAACCTAAAGCTTACAATTCGACTGGTATTACTCTGTACTGACTGTTACATATGAAATGTGTGCCTTGCAGGGCAGGTGTTGTCTGGATGGCTACCACTGTTGTCCATATGGCTACGACTGTGACTACACGTACACGCGCTGTGTGAGGGAAGACCTGAGATATCCCTTCACCCCCAAAAAAGCTCCGTCTTCAGTCCCTGCCTCTCTCATTTCAGCTCCAGAAGACAAAAAAAGCGTACAGGAGGTAGGGTGTGCCTTAGTTACCCGAATGACCATCCATTCGCATGAAGTTTCCAAGGCCCTGACAACCCATTATCTCAATCAGTTTCTTAGTATAGGTGATGGGGTTATAAATGCATCCAATCGCTGCTTATAAATCCCAGTGATGTCATTCCAGTGTGTGGTGGATAATTTAGATTTTTAACTGCATACTTACCGGTACTTGAGTATTGTTGGCTGTACATAGAGAGTTTTATTTACTAAATATATATGAATGATTAACTACTTGGTTAGCAGTCAGGGTATAATGGTCACTTTGCGTTTACCTTTTGCAGACACCAATGATGGCTCTAACAGAAGCCAGCAGGGGCATCCGTGAGCCTGGAGTCATTCGCTGCGATTCCAAATTTTACTGCTCACAAGGGACAACCTGCTGCCAAGGACCCACAGGCCAATGGACCTGCTGTCCCTACCCGCTGGTAAGGATTTTGCAGCCGACATCGGTTTGAACGTCCTTGTTCTGACTGTGAACCTATGAATGAAGTGCTTGCAGTAATTTACCAGTCAGTACTGTATTTTTTCTAACACCGAGACTTGTTCTGATTCAGGGCCAGTGCTGTTTAGATGGTAAGCACTGCTGTCAGTATGGATATACCTGCGACCCGACGTCCTTGTCATGCAGAGGTCTGTTCTCTCAGATACCCTCCGGAAAACAGGAACGTGCAAAAACAGTCTGAGGACATGTTAAAGTTTGTGCACTGTGGCACCTTTTTTAATTATTTTGGTACACACTTCAGTTCAAATCTACCAATGCATCATTGCCTACATAAAGAAAACTAATACACACTGGCCAGATTTTGGATCATAGTAAATAATGACAAGCTTATAACCACAACAGTATCCATAGTTGAATCCATTTCAGATGAATAGTACTGTATTCTGTATTGGTTCTAAGCTTTTCATGAGTGTTTGTTTTGTGTTGTTTTTTAAGAAATTGACAAATCATAGAGATATGCCAACCTCAAATAATTTCATGATCTTTTCTGATGACATAAAATACTTATAAATATGGAATTTCTTAAATAAAAAAACTATAAAAAAGTGAGTGAATCGTTTTTCATCTATCCCGTTTCTTCATGCAGCCTGAACTGAATTTGTCACCAGATGCTCACCTGTGTTTCCCAGAATTTGATATCATTGTTGTTCATCCAAGGGCTTTTACTTTGAAAGGAACACGCGGAAATGCCCTTTTCATTCCGACTGGCTCACTTCCACGGTTTCTCATCGTCCCCACGCATACAGTTCCGGGTGGAGTGTAAATGGTGGAAACATGGGTCAAATCGAAGAACTAAAAATGTTTGTCTCCGAGCGGCTGCACGCTGCTGCCTCTGAAATATTAGGCGCTATAGAAAAAACAATGACGGACTACGAGAAGCAGGCTTCCCGGTTGAAGGAAGAAAACAACCGCCATCGCTCAGTGCTGGACATTATCCTCAAAACCAAGTTACCGGGGACAGAAGGTTGGTCCATCCCGACAGCAGCGCTCTGCGGGCGGGGGCAGTCGTCCTCTTTCACCCCGCTAGTAATGATATATAACACAATAACCGCCCCTCTTTTCGTCATGTCTAACTGGTTAGGTGGTTGCTTCAGGACATTATATTAACTTGTTCCTAACGCAAAGTAACGTTATATTAAAGTGCTGAAAGCGGAATCATTTAAGTGTAGTTGAAGCATTTATAATGTTAGAACTGAGTAGGGCTGTGGTTAGAATCTGGCGATATGATATAACTTACGTATCACGATACAGGGGTTACATTTCAATATATCGCGATACTGTAAGCTAGGCGATATATTGCATTTTTAAATAATCTAACTTCTAATTTCAGTAAGTGTCTAAAGTATAAAGAACACACACTGTCTGTGGTTGGGGGTTTAAACCATTGACAGTATATTTACATTGATACAGTGGTTTTTGAGAATTGATACAGTATCACAATTTTTGATTTATATTTTCTGACACTCCTATTACTGAGGTAGTGGATCTTTAGTTTATATTAACTAGTAGATATGTGTTAACTCACAAAATAGTAGATAATACATGAGCTATACAAACCAAAGAGAGATGGGATCTGTTATAGTTGATATGCAACAGTGTGTTTACATCTTAGACTTCTTACCTCGCTAGTTGTCCATGTTGCTGGATCAAATTAATTTACTGGAACAGCTACTAACATCGTAAAAAGAATCCAGTACACACACAAATACACACAGGCAGCGTTAGGGTTCTTGTTATTCATAATGTAAGTCCGACAGAGTAGGCTGGCTGTAGACAACAATACAGCTCGCCCCGCTGGTTTCGCTTCAACAGTGCAGCTGGTAATGCGTGTCATATGTCAGTGGAACAATAACTGCATATTAACAGTCAGCAGCGGTATTAGTGTACAAAGGACTGCTACAACAGTGGCATACCAAAGCCACTTTAAACACAACTCTGCATTTTCCTTTATTTACAGTTTTACATTTGACAGGATTATGCACAAATGGGGAAAAAAAGCCATTATACTACACAAACAATCACATCATTAAAAACTGAAGCAAGTTACTGAGAACACTTAGGTTTAACTGTACATTGGTGAATAATCTCTCTTCTCATTTCGCCTTGGCAACCATTTGAACTGCGTAGTCAAACAGAGGTTGCGAGCTCATTACCTGTGGTGTGGCGAAGGCCTAGCTGCAGGCCAATGACTCAACGAATCACTGTCATTTTTCCCACCGCTTCCTGACATGAGCGTAGTCAATCTGTGCACCTATTATACGGGTATGTGTCAGTGAACACACAATAGTTGAAAAATGTGGTATGAATATGATGCTGCCTACCAAACTCTAAAGACAGGAAAATGTCACTCCTGCTAGATTTAATGATGACACAATTGGCGTACGGTATGTCACTGAGTTAGGGTGTAAATAAAGAATGATGGCTGAATTCCAATAAGCTGCTTCAGTTTCAGGGTCCGGGTATTGTGCATGCTGTCTCACTGCGCCTTTTCCTATTATGACAGGTCAAAATGTCCACTGTGAAAAAAGGCTATTTACATGTATAATATCTAGGACAAAATGTGTTATACCACTGATTCAGTCATTAATATGAATGTTTGAAGGCATGTTTTTGTCCGTGTCAGGAAGGACTCCAGATGCTTGCAACCAAATGTTCAAACTCTGGCAGCTGCCAGTGTAACATACTGGCATGCCATCAAAAATGCAAAAACAATGTGTCACAAAGGTGACAGCTGCCAGCAAGAGCCAATAACAAATTGACATGCCATGACATGTTTATTAGCTCTCCAATGTCAGACACTGCATTTGTATTCCCAAATTTTGGCTTGCTTGGAAGAACTAATAAAATTGTATTTATTTTTTATTTCTCACGATACATTCATGCTCTCCTTAGTCCTTAGTTCCAACTTTTTGCGTTCTTCTTTGCAGCAGGTCGTGCCACCAAAAGTACCACTACTGCCATCAGCCCACCGGCAGCAGATTCAAGTCCTACCTGCAAGGCCACAGAAACCCCCCGCCAATCCAGTGGTAGGAAGTGTTAACAGTACATTCTGCTCTTAAGTCAAATCAATTAATTGAGCTCCTCTGTGATTATTAATTTGTAACAATAAAATCATAGAAGTCTTGCCAGAGATGATTGTGAACTTCCAACATGGATTCCAGTAACCACCTTTCATCGCTATAGTGTGATGGGTTAGAGCAGCTACAGGGAACTTTTATTTTGTGTTGATTGTAGCGGCCCTGGTGTGCGACAGTGGTAGTGTTTCCGACCAAATCTGACCATGTGGCAGGCGTTAAGAATAACTATAACTACTATAGAAATATCCTCCTAATATGATTTCTTGCTGATGTTTATTTATGCAGATCATACAGTATTAAATAGAGACTGTTTGATAACCAGTTAAAAACACCTTCTAGTATTTTAGTACATTATTGTAAAAACATTTCATTACAACATTCATTATGAGGAAAATTTCAGCATTTCAGTCAATACTGTATTATTTTGTAAAGTAACTAAAGTAGATCTCTTTATATATTCCAGAGTTACAGTGTGTCTTCACCTCACGCACCGACCTCCTGAAGTCCGCAACCAATGGCGACTGTCCCTACTGCCTCAAGAGTACTGAAGCCACTGAGACGCACTTAATCAAAAAGCATTATCTGTTTGCTGTTCATTTTACTGAGAATGGCACTGGTAGGTTTTATTAACATCAATAAGAAAATATGATGATACTTTGTTCAATATAATGGATTACTTTAGTCAAGCAATTTTCAATTCTGCTAGTTGATTTTCACTGCATGGAAGTGTGCTAAAACAACGTTCTTAAAGGTTATCTTTTCTTTTTCAGTGAAATTTGTTGTACCGTGTACGTGCAAAGACAGGATCCAGGGCAGGAGTCACTGGCACTGTCCATATTGCATTAAGATCATTTATCGGAAATGCAACTTTGAGCGGCACATATCTAAACAACACCGTATGTACAATGAGTTGGCGTTTCTCATGACTCTGCCGTTATTTTACCATTCCTTTATTTTGTTGTTTCAGTCTTGCTATAGATGACTGCTGTGTAATAGTGCTAATTATCGCTAATAATAATGTTAACATTATGTTGTTGTTTTTTCACAAACTAAAAGTGATTATTAACTACTATGTCTTTACTTTACAGGTTATACAATACTGCAGCAAAGCCATGACGCAGGTTAGTTGACAGTATGTCTGATGCCCCCCAGTTGAATTATTTGCCTTTTGAATGTCAGAATGATGAACACTGTTGTAATGAATTGTTAGTATTCATTGCATCAAGTACAAAAAAACAAAAACAAATGCAGCACCCGCATAACTTTGCACATCTCTTCTCTGCACAATAATGCAGTAATATCTCTAATTTGAAATACATGGCTTCACATTAACAATGGTGCATTCAGTGTCAGAATAATGCAACCCTTTTGACTACAAAATAGGGCTTTTTCTTTAATCTGAACTTTTTTATTGTTGTTTTGAATGTCAAAAAGACTCATTGAGTTTTTACTTACACTGAGGAACTCTCAGACATAGGATAATTATATAATATGTGTTCTCTTCTTTTGCTTAAAACTGCTGTGAAAAGTGTTGAAATGTGGAAACAGATAACTGATAACTGATAACCATCTCAAGGAGATGGATCCGCACCCTCTGTCTCTGCCTTTGAGGAGGAGGTTCCCCCGAGTCCTGAACCTTGGTGTCAGGAGCTTGGTAGTCTGGACCAGGAGGACCCACAGACCTCACTGCTGCTTCAAATTAAAGAAGAGCAAGAAGAAATATGGAGACAAGGTGTGGTACGCAGAGGTTTACTTTCACCGCATGTAAAAATGTGTGACGCAAACAACTGAATAGATTTTTTCCCCCTTTTTCCTCAGTGAGTCCTCCCGAGTTGCAGAGCTCGGAGCAACTGCAGACCAAGGGCGAGCAAATACCAAAAAGTAACAGTGAAATGGGAGAACAAAGTATGGAGGAAGATCACGCCAAAGACTCTGCGTTCACTGTTGCCTGTGTGGACAATTATATTCAAGATCTTAGTGAAATAATCAGCGTGGAACGCAGCAAGAAACGCTGTCTTTCTAATTCTTCAACTCTGGAAACTCTGGAACCTCAGCACGCCCCTGAAGACGAGATTGAGGAGTGTAAGAAGAACCATACACCTTGTTTACAGGCTACCAGTTCAAAGAGTAAAAAGCGTGTGAAACGATCTTCACACACCTTGAATTTAAATATGAAGAAATCAACAAAACTATCCGTCAGTCAGAATCCCACAGGTCCTCATTGTTGTAAAGCCTGTGGAAAGACTTTCCATTACATGTACACGCTGAAGACACACGTGCAAACACACACAGTGGATAAAATTTGCGGACTATGTGGAGAACATTTAGAGTCCACGGGGAGTTTAATCCAGCACCTTCAAAGCCACACAGAGAGAAACAAATGTGATATATGTGGCAAACAGTTTTCCAATAATTCCCGTCTGAAACAGCATAGGAGATTCCACGGACCAAAGGGTCTAAATGTCACGTCATCATTAAATACCACCTAAAGTCCTACAGATGTCATAAATGCATCAAAAGCTGCTGTGATGATCGGATTCTGATCCACTGCAGTGAAATACAGAGAGGGAGACACCCGTCCAGAGCTGTATTTACGGGAGGAGGAACTCAGTCCATGTTGATGTTTATTGTTTATCTTTGTATTCATTTACAATTTTGTAGATTTAACTTTGAATAAAAAACAAACAAACTCAAGACTCTGATTCAAAGTCAGATTGGTTTTCTTGTGTATTTCTTTCTATAAATCATCAGTTTGGAAATGAGCCTTTTGGTCATAACAACACCAAATAGATACTACTATTAACTGATGTACACTGCAGTACAGTACTGCCTGGCACAATAGGTTTGTAGCCTATTAAACATTATTTAATTATCAAATCCAGGTATCCCAAGTCAACATTTGCAACTGTTCTTGGGATTGTATGACAAACCTTTATCATTATGACATCGTAAATGCAGGAAGTGTACACCTCTTGAATTGCACTGTAAGAATAAATATTTAATGGGGAGGAAATAAAATGCTGATGAAGTTACAGTAAAGTACGACAGACACATTTAAATTAGAGCATTAACGTTACAGGTATTAGTGTTCAAATGTCCATTAAAATGTGAAACATAAGAATCATTATTGCCGCTGAATGGTCTGTCCCTGCAGCCAGTCACTGGGTGTGTGAGCTGTCGGCAGTGTTGGCCGGCATTATGTTGTGTGCAGTTTGATGACTGCTGGGTTTCGGTCCCAACTTTCCCGGTTTGTCATCTCTGTCCCATGATGTGGTGAGTTTGTCTATGGCAGGAAGGAAGAGGGGGGAAGCTGCACCGTTTGACTCCGCTCCGGAGAGTCTGTCCTCATCCAGTTTTCCCCGGCTAATTTACAGTAACTCCCGGGCGAGTTACTGCCTCCTTTTAGGCTTTGCACCGGGAAAATGGCTGTACTGAAGATACAAGACCAGGTAACGTTAATCTTTCTAGTTTACCGCTGGTGTCACTTTTTGTAAAACTGGTTAACCTCTAGTTTGGTTGGAATCTAATGTAACGTTAGTGAACACCGTGTTACACCGACTGTTCATGTTAGTGATAGCTTAACTTCACTAACGTGGAACAGCTAACGTTAACTCACGGTTACTAAGCACCGACCGACCGGTGTAGTCTAGGTTACCGGCTAACGTTAAGGTTCGCTACCGTTCTAACCGTTAAGTCAACTGACATGTTAGCTAACTAGCTAGCAGTTACCAGTTGACAGAAAACCAGTTGACGTAAGAACATTGCCAACGTCGTGTCACCTGTTGACTTACGTTAACTTCATTCAGTTAACTCGGTCAGTTTCGTGTCACATCAGTGAATAACTACACTGCCGGTTGTCAGTGTTGTTCGGTGTTTCTGACTGTTGCTGTTTATTGCTTTTTTCTTTACTGGTGGTGATGGGCTGCTGAACACAGCTGGATAGGGTGGCTAACTCTGCCTGCTCTGCTAATGTTTGTTAGCAACTTTTAACTCACGATAGACAAGTATGGTTATCTATTTGTGCTCCGTCCCGCTGTGAGATTATAAACCTAAAATTAGTGAACCGTTTTATCCTGAATTAGATCGCATGTTTCCAAATGAACTGACTGCAAGCTGATACGCTACCCAGGGCGTTTGCTTTGTCAGCTGTCTAGTTCAGCCCCTGCACATTTTCTCCGGGGTAGCTGTGGTCAGTCACCTGTTGCTGGAGATAAGAAAGGCTGTCAGACTAAAATAGCAGGTGGTGCTGCTTCTAAAGTCTCCAGCTGTGGTCGTTAAGTAACGTTACACACTTTCCTCAGGCTTAAATTAGTTGCTGTGAACTCTGCTTAAAGGCACTGATACACAGGGCATTGAAGCGGGCATTAGACTCAGGGATCAGTAACTTGACAGCAGCTACAGAGTTATTTAACTTAGTTAGTTAAAGGAGCTTGTTAAAAAAAAGATTGTGTGTTGCATTACACTTTAAATTAAAATTTAAAAAAATACTTTTTGTGTATGTATGTGCTTGAAAGGTAGAGGGAGGTCGTTACTTAGGAAAACAATTCAGTTGGCTCATGTCAATCAAGACAAAATGTGATATTTTATAAGTATCAATCATTTACATTATCAAGTAAAACTACTTTTTAACATCTTTTTAATATAATGCTTTACATTCTCTTCTCATTTTTCATATTGTCAATTGAGTGCAATTGAATAGTCAGACAATTTAAAAGCTACTTTGGGCTCTGGTCACTTGTATTAAGCATTCGTTATTTATTCCATTTTAAAGACTAAATGATTTATTGGTAAATATAATAAGCAGACAAGTGCTTAGAAATCTTATGCGTGGGTTCAGAATTGGCCTAAATGGTTATAGTAAGAGATAATGTTTTTGAACTTCAGGCCTGTCCTGGACTGACCAGTCTTCAGAGCAGTCAGCACGAACGGAAGTGTGTGTGTGATTTGATCTGCCGCTCTATTCTCCATTGTTCTCTGTAGTGCTGATAGAGGACTGGACAAATGGACAAAAATAGTCATACTCAGACAAGAGGACAAGAGTGAGTGTCAAGGCTTCAGTTTGTCCTCTAGAGGGCGTCCTGTAGCTTTGGAGCATGCAGTCTCCTAACCCGGCGGCTTGAGGGGAGAGATAGTAGAGGCATTTAAACACTCAGCATACAAGAGGCTGTATTGTAGTTTTGTTTGTGTTTCCTTGATTAGGGCTTTTAAGATGCATACATTAGCAGGACTGTGTTAATGGCTGCTAGCCAAAGAGTCCACAAGTAAATGTGTACAGTATACATACAGTACAATTGTCAGGTAGTACTGCGCGATACACCGGAGAAACCCGTATACTAGTACCTTATACTACCTTATACTACTTTAGTTTCCTGTATGATATGATTTTTCATATGCCGCCACATAGCTGAAACAACTGCTGTTACTCATTTGTTTCTTGTGCAGTAGAACATTTGAGAAACATCTCTTTGAATGTTGAAATACATTGTGTATTTCACGTCAGTTTATAGTGTTTATTCAACTATTTTAAAGTATTTTGTTTTGAAAAGGAAGCAGTGTTAAAACTGGTGGCGTATCTTGCTTATTATTAAGTTGTGTTTTCCTACGTTGCATTTTGTACAATAAAAATTAGACTTATCCATTAAATGAATAATCCTGACTGTGTCTCTACGAGTCGAGAGAATCAGTGTGCCAGACCACTGTGAGGATACACACTATGATAACTATATCACTTAGATATGACTAAAACCAAATGAAAAGTAGCACCTTCTACAGACGAGTCAACATGAAGGTGAAGCTGCTTCGTCGCGGTCTGGCATGAATATCAGGGTGTATTTTGGAGCACTAAAAATGTCCGTATCAATTCAGATTCATGTAATGTTAATGACTCATTCTCCAGTCTCTGTCAGAATGAGCATACCAAACAGCACAGCAGAGCGTTATGAGATCAGCCTCTCCTGATCTTTAAAAGCTTTGAAATCTCTAAATGTTTTGCCTCTTCATTGCTGCTGTCTGTGTGAGTATGTGTCCTAGCGCGCACACACACACACACACACGTGCTGGCCTTTGTGTTTCTGGGATTACATTACACACAGTGCATCCTGTCGCAGGGTCAGAGCAGAGGTCAGTGCAAGCTGCATACTTTCACTCACACATGCACTCTGTCACGTTGAGGGTCTCATGAAGTAAAGCTCAGAGGCTGTAGTGGAATTTTATTTCTGGGTATTTGTGATAATACCTCGCTCGCATCCTCTTGTTGTTGCGGCGAGATCAGGTTCACCTTCTGTATGCGTCCCATTGCTGTATGAGCACCAGCTCAGCACAAACGCAGCACGCATTTGAGCTCTGCCTGCCTCAGGACAGCACGTGTCCAACGCATCACAAAATGTTTTTTTCAGTTGTTGTTGCTTGTGTTGAGGAGTGCTCTCTACTATGTCCTGCCTATTCCACGTTCAGCCGTGCCCTTGAGTCCTGATTGCATCTTTAAACACACATGAATACACATGCTGATCACAGGAAGACTCCTTTCTGTTGGAAAATGGCAACAGATCTGCAATGTAAACATCTTGGGGCTACGTTCCTGAGAGTATCCCCAGCACTAGTGAGTGGGAGACAAAGCATAGCTTGTTTATATACTTTGCTACCCAAACATCATTATTTATTTCTGTTTTTCAAAGCAAATCTGCAACATCAGCTCGGTTGCTGTAGGAGCAGAAAGATTGTTAGCCTGTCTTTCATATTAAGAATGTAAATGGTAAGGCCATTAGACTTCAAATTTAGGTCTGCTGAAAAGCTCCATCCAACTGAATCTCTCCCTCTGATTGGCCCTCCTTTGCTCCGTCCCTCCCTCTGAGTTAATGGGGTTGTGTGGCTTGGCAAGATTGCTCTTTTTAGGATCTGTGTTGAATATGAAGGAGACTGAGACACACAGAGAGACATGCACGCACAGACTGGTCTTGTTAGCTACCCTCACATTCTCTGGCAAAGCCAGTTTGTTCCAGTTTTATAATGAGGAGATGGGGACTTTTGAAGCTATGCCACCGATAAACCAAAGAACATACTGGAACACACACACGTACACACACTGATCTGGTATCCATTTTCTTTTATTTTCTAACATTTGGAAGACCGCTGCTATTTTAGCACCAACTTCATGAAGATGCAGACCACTAAAATCCTATTTAGCAAATTCTAAAAACAACACAACAGTGTAGTGCACATGGTTTCCTTTTTACAGGGCTGTGTGGGCTGCAGCTTTTCAGATAGTCCTTTCACATTTAATAGAATATGAGGAGATCTTCAACGCTTCACACCGTTACTTTAATGTACAATACCCAAGATCAGTGCTTTGTTGAGTGGCTTAGCACGGAATTCATAAAATAAAGATAATAAAATGACAAAACAGACATTCAGATGTCCACACAGTATTAAAGTGTATTAAAGTGTATTAAAACAAACAACGTAGCATTGGCTGCTGAAGATAGCAGGGCTTTCACTAAAGAATCAATAGTGCTGCACCATCGTTCTCTACTGTAGCGTCATCATTTCACTTCCACTTTTGTTGTTACACTTAACAGAACTCATGGGGGACTCAGGCTTCAGCCCCATCCAGCAAGTTACCTGATAACTCATAGAAATGGGGCCCTAGCTGCGCAGTGTTCCTCACTTGTTGCCATTCATTACATTGTTTGTTCTCTTTTCATCTATCGCTCCCTCTTCATCTCCATTTCTTTACATTCTGCATTGTGAGTCACTTTGTCTCTCAGTTAACTTTCTGTAACCAGTTTGCACCCATTGGTGTCCCAAGTTCCCTCTTTGTCCTTTGCTCCATTCATCTTCAGCTTTCTTTTCTTGTTTTGTAGTGCTCTACAGTAGATACCTGCCTACAATTATTATTCTCTCTCTCCCCTTTTATCCCTACTCCCCTCCCCCTTCCTTTCATTTTCTCTCTCCCTCCCTCCCTCTTTCTCTCTGTCTCTCTCTGTCTGTCTCTCTCCCCCTCCCCCTCCTCTCCCTCTCTCTCTGTCTCTCCTTTTGAAAGAGCTTGCTTCAGCAGTCTGCCTGAAATGAGCGACGCATGCCCACACATACATTGGCTTCTACGGCCCCCGTCCACGCTAATCACAGGGTCTCTCTCTCTGTGTGTGTGTGTGTTTTTTTGCATCTGACGTGTGTGTGTGTGTGTTCCTGGCTGCAGCACAGCAGTGAGGATATGTAGCTTCCTGTGTGCTGCTAGGCAGCCCAAGCTCATTCTGCCGCATGCCGCTTACTGCCACCATTACGCAGAGGAATTCCCTGCTGTCTCCGCTACTGCTGCTCACAGAGTGCGAGTGTGGCTTAGAGAGAGGAGGAGAGGAGACATGCAGCAAAGCAACACTGACAGATAGAGGACACAACTGGATTTCACAGTGGATTTTACCTGAAGATGTGCAGGGTTTGTTCACGAGGAGTCCTTTTGTGGGATTAATCGCTGACCTTTGTGCTCCTGAATTGCCCACGTATGTAAGAGGGAACAGTGTATTTATGTGTGTGTGAGTGATTGTGTTGGTGTGTGTGTGTGTGTGAGTGTTTGTTCCTGATGCGTTCAGAGCGGGCTAGCCGTGTGTGTATTGTGGTGCTGGAGGAGGTGGAGGAGGATGAGCCCTCTTCTTCGCCCCCACCTCCCCGGCCCAAATCATCCCCAGACCGCAGATCCCATCATGCCTCTCGAAGGGCTGCCGCTCAAGAGGACAAGGTGAGACGGGTCCTTCTGTTTGGTTCTTCACCGATTGCATTTACATTCAAAGATTTACTGATGGTTCTTTGTGTGACACTTCTCATACCTGGCCTGAAGTTTAAACCTGAGCTGAAGTGCATAGTTACACATCCTACTGCATGAAAATGGAACGCACATCCCACACTTGGCATCCATTGCTAAATATAGCACCAATACAATCACCAATATAGCCCTGCCATATGAGAAGAGACTGCCGGTTTGTATAGATTATCAGCAAAGCCTGGCCTTTGTAGACTCCAGTGTTGTGCTGTATAAAGGGCAAGCCTAGCATTGAAACATGGTAGTGAACGTTCTTTTGATCCTGTTAGAGCTGCTCTTTGAAGTGTTCACCAAGAGGGGTGAAGCCTGGGAAGATGTGCCGGCTCTAGTGTCTACCTTCTCCAGTCTCTGACATAGTTGCAGTGGTCATCGGTGTGTAATAGGCATGAGACAGACGCCGACATGCCTGACAGCCCCACTTATTTTTAGTTGGGACGAAATGAGAGAGGGATGGGGTAGTACTGATTAGCAACCATGGCTGGGCAAAAGGTACACATGTGACACTAGGTCTGCATGTACTTGTGTTTTTGTATTGTGTCAGCGAGTTGTCAGCACAAAGAAAAGCACCGCTTCAAATTGTACATTATCAATCTACTTAATGTCCTTATATTAATTACTTATCCAAACATAATGACACAAAGAAACCGTTGGTTATAATGATCAAATAATGGAGTAAATGGAGAGTAGTGTTATTATAAATATTAAATCTATTCAATCACTTAGTCACTCAGATCTTGGTGTCAAATAGGCTAGTGAAGAAAGTCATGGCTGTGCAGCAATATGTTGCAAAACCAGACACTGGTTATCAGTATCAGTAACAAACTGTTTATATTGCAGGGTTCCATGTAAAAGTAATAAAGCTCAAAATGTGGGTCGAAGTTGTTGGTGTAGATGATTTAGTTTAACTTCTTAAGATTCTGTTAGTTGTTAGATAAAAGGTCACAAAGACAATAAATGACCTAAATATAAAAACATCAAAAGACGACTGTGTTTTCAATCCAGAATTGAATTGTGAGCTTAAAATAGTGGTACTTCCCTTAACCTTTTGAATGGCCTCCCTGTTCTGTGTTTACAAACCCCTCTCGCAGTATCAGGCATCCTGCTCTCATGCCAACTGTTTACATCCACACATGTACCAAAATGAAACTTAAGTGATTATAGTGCTGTGCTCAGTGTGTTTTTGTATCTTTCATTCATCTGCAGCTTCCTCTTTCTGGGGAAATCTCATGTCTTCTTAAGAACACGAATACCTTGTGTAACTTGTTTAAATGGTCCTAATAAAAATACCTGAAATGCTTCAGCATTTATGGCTAACCTAGTCATTTTCTCCCCTCTCTTTTTTTTTTTACACCACTGTATATTCTTATCAGCTGGCCTCTCACCAGGTGGCAAACTTTTTAACCCCTCACAGACTCAAACATTTCTGTAATGGTGTGTACATGTATGCATGTGTTTATGTGACGTATGCTGCAGCTGCTACTGTCATAAACAACCTGGTGATATATGGCCATTTGACCTGTGGCTCTCTCCCAGCTCAGGATTATAGTGTCTGTGTATGAGACTCTCCCATTTGTAACTCTCGTAACTCTCACTGATAACATAGTTGTCAGCATAGAAAATGACTGCCTTGTACATCGAGTGTGTAATAGTGTACATGAGCATTTTGTCTTCTTTTTGATTTTTCCCTCTACAGCCGTCTCTGTTAAGAGCCATCTTCAACGTGGACCCAGATGAAGTCCGCTCCCTCATATTCAAGAAAGAGGATGTCAACATTCAGGTGAGTCACACACACTTCTTGCTGTTTCCCACGATTTATTCCCACTGCAGTGTGTTTGTGTTCTGCGATCCCTGTGTAATATTCTGTGACTCTTAAGCTTCACACACACACCATGACATATAAAAAAACACCAAGGAGAGCCGGAGTCAGCTCGTAGGCTACGATTGATCTGGGTTCCTATTGATTACTTGACTGAGCGTGCCTTCTGGCAGCTACCCCATCTTATATAGCTGTCAGCCAGGGCAAGACACATGAACTGTTCATTCAACACTACCCTCTCCTATGGTTTAAGGATATAACCTACACCTGATATCTCTCCTTTTTTCCCTCCAATCGCTTTCGCTCTCTGGCCCTTGTCTTTCTGAATATATTTTTCTCCGTTTACAGCGCACTCTGTTTTCACATTCTTTGTTTTTCTCTCTGTGCTTTCTGTTGGTGTATATTGCTGGGGTCATCACACTGAGTCTTCCTGGAGTCAGCAACACTGGCCCAGGCCTGTTGCAGTCACATGACATGTGTTTATAGCCCCACTCTGTTGATTGCTCTCTCCTGCACTGAAAGAGAGAGAGGTGGGGGGTGCGGAAGCTGGGTTTGTTGACGTGATGGAGCGAAGAGAAGAATACAAGTGAACAAATGATAGACACTTCTCTTCTGGTGGAAGTAGTCTCATGTTTCTTGCGGTCTGCAGCAGCGTGAGGTTTATAGATTTTGTTAGGGACTTGTCACCCCCCCTCATGATGTGTGTTTGTGAGCATGTGTCTCCCGTCTTTGTATGAAAGAAGAGAAATAACACACGTGCTTAAATTTGTGTTTTTCTGTGTTTTGTCTCGTGCCAGGACAACGAGAAGCGGACGCCTCTGCACGCGGCAGCCTATCTGGGGGACGCTGAGATCATTGAGTTGCTCGTCCTCTCAGGTAAACACTGCAGCCCAGCTTTGCTAGCCTTAATTAATCAATCTATTCAGCTCTCCGTTCGGTTTGATTTCCACACTAATATCCATCCACCTCCAGTATCAATTCTGCTTGAAAGCTTACTCATCTATTGACACTGGCTGTTGGTGGCCATCCATGTATGCATCCATCTGGTCCTGTTGTTCATCTGTGTGTCCATATTAGCTCTCATTTTTTTGCTGTTTATTGATTGACAGAAATTAACTGCATTTCATTTCACAGTAAATAGTTTTAATGTCAAATTCATGTTCCTTCAACACCACTTTGTTTCCTGTCAGTTTACCTCATCCTCTTTCTCTCCTGCCATGACTTCCTAAATTCTTCAAACCCACTGCCTGTTCTTCATCTCTCTCATCCTCATGTTTCTATGCCTGTGTGTATGCTCCCTGCTCTGTCTGTCAACCTCTCTTTGTGATTTATCAATCATCCGATAGGGTCTGTGTCGGCTTTACTTTCTCTGAAGTCAGCTGAGCATGTCAGGAGGTGGGGCCCACCCTGTCACAACACAAGCGTAGTGTGTGTGTGTGTGTGTGTGTGTGTGTGTGTGTGTGTGTGTTCACTGTTTCTCAATTATGTGAAGAGCAAGCAACAGGTGCAGCTTCAGGGCTATTTTGACCCCTAGGCTGTGCCAAAGAGGGTCATGGGAGTTTTATATCTTCCAGGCACTGTTGGCTCACAACACCCTCATGTCATGGAAAAAGACTTTTAAACTATTAGTTTGTCTTTTTTTTTCCTTACTATTCACACCCCAATTAGTTTTCTTGGCCCTTTTAGTGTATCCTTCAATGATGAGACATTTTTACCACCATGTTTGCCTTTGCCATGTCAGCCAATGTTGACATATCTCTGACATCTCTCACTCTCTCTCTCACTTCTTTCATCCAAGGAGCCAGAGTAAATGCCAAAGACAACAAGTGGTTGACTCCTCTTCACCGAGCTGTTGCCTCATGTAGTGAGGTAACGCAAAACACAAACAACCTACTGCTAATGTGCGCTGTGATGACTCCACTGTAATTATTTTACTATGTTCTTCTCTGTCACGCAATTGGGTTATTACAGCTTTTATACCTTGGAGAAACCTGTGTTTGATAACACAAATTCAACCCTACGAAGGGGGCTTCCCCACTAATGATAGCACTGCAACAAAAATGCGACTTCTTCTCTCATTACATTGAGGCCACTGTGATGACAGAAAACAGAGCAAGGGGAATATCTTGTAGCTACCTTACTGGCATGAGATAGGAAAATGATTGTTGTCGGCATTATGTTTACAGATTCGTACAATCTTAAAGCGGTAAAATGACATAACTAATGTGTAGTGTGTTGTGTCTTTGATAAACTTTCAAAATATCTTGACCTATTCTGCTTGGTCCTGGGCAACATTCCCACACTAACACAGCCGCTCGTGTTGTTTCTCCTTCTCATTGCTATTGTCGGCATGGAAGCCCCCTAAGAATAGCAAATACTTTATAACCACCCACACACAGCCACCTGCACATACTGGTGCGTACTTTTGTTAGAACACTGAGGCATGTTAGAAAATAGACCGTCTGTCTGCACACTCTGACCCATTCACGCTCTCCATCCAGGATGCAGTGGCAGTGTTGCTGAAGCACAGTGCAGATGTTAACGCCCGGGACAAGAACTGGCAGACGCCGCTCCATGTTGCAGCAAGCAACAAGGCGGTACGCTGTGCTGAGGCTTTGGTCCCGCTGCTTAGCAACGTCAATGTGTCTGACCGAGCGGGCCGCACTGCCCTGCACCATGCTGCCTTCAGTGGACATGTAGAGGTTGGTCTCTTTTTTAGATGTACACAGAGACACTCGCATACATGTCAACAGTTAAATCAATCAGCTAATTTACTTATGCGTGACAGATGGTGAAGTTGCTGCTGTCCAGGGGAGCCAACATTAATGCATTTGACAAGAAGGACAGAAGGGCCATCCACTGGGGAGCCTACATGGGTAGGACTGTTACAACATGATAGATGAAGCCTCTGTCTCTCCCTAGTCATACACACTAACATATACTGCTTTCAGTAATTGCTAAATCCCCTAGTGAACATGTGTTGACTTAGTTGAATTGACTTTGAATTGACACTTTTTTGTGTCATTTTCATACTGCCCTTCTCTGTTTCAGGTCACCTGGAGGTGGTGAAGTTATTGGTGGCCAGCGGAGCAGAGGTCGACTGTAAGGACAAGAAAGCCTACACCCCACTCCATGCAGCTGCCTCCAGTGGCATGAGCAGCACAGTGCACTACCTGCTGGGCCTGGGCGTCCACGTCAGTACAGACACACACACGCATGCACTAGCAGTGTCCTTAATGTGTACATAATGTGCCATGACTCTTTGACCTTGCCATATCTTAATAAATGAATGAAATGAATAAAATAAAATATAAATGCTATTTAAAATGGTATCAATATCATATTCTCAAGTCAATAAAATGCAAAAAAGCCAAGTCATGCTATGTTCCTGAAAAACACTACGTAAGCATAGATTTCTGCTCTTTTTGCATAGGTCAACGAGGTGAATGCGTATGGCAACACTCCACTCCATTTGGCCTGTTACAATGGACAGGATGTGGTGGTCAGTGAGCTCATTGAGGCAGGGGCCAACGTCAACCAGGTGCGTCTATGTGTGTGTGTGTGCGTCTGTATGAGATGGCATGTGCGTAGTAATTGTGTGTGTTTAATTACGTGTTATTTGGTTCCTTGCTTCAGGTGAATGAGAGGGGTTTTTCTGCTCTCCACTTTGCCTCCTCCTCACGCCAGGGGGCGCTGTGTCAGGAGCTGCTGTTGGCCCACGGAGCTCACATCAACATGCGGGTGTGTACAGATGCAGATACACTTCCATACAAAGCACACCGATTTAGTTGAGAAACAATAGTGGCTTTATATTAATATAGCTGAAGTGAGCGCGTATACATGGCCTGTACATATTATTTTAACAACACGAAAAGGAGCCTCAGCTCTTACCAATCTGCAGCTGTCCAGTATCTAGCAGAATGTTTAAATGACAGTGTTGTTAACACTATGGTAGCAGTCATGGAAACTGATATTAGGTCCCCACAGCCTCAAGATGCAAGGCCATATGGAAGAAGATGGGGGAGGGGGAGGGGGTGGCTCCCTCAGGCTGCAAGCTGCTCAGGGAATATGTGTGTGGGTGTATGTGTGGTCCACAAGGGGGTCTAATATAGCTTCTGTTCATTCTAAGCTTTTCTAACACTACAGTATTAGATGGATCTTGCGCCTTCCCAGTATTGTGCTTGTGGTGCTAAACCAAAGTCTTAAGTTCCAGTGTTGAACCCAGGATGAACACACAAAGGCAAGCACTTTTTCCTGGAAATCTGTGAGTGCTACCTTTTTATGCCTTTGGGTATTCATCCTGGGTTCAACTACAGTATTAGACTCACAGTTGAGTCAGCTTCCCATGCTGGCACTTTAATTTACCTCTACACTCACTGCAAGACTGATCTGAAGGCTTAATACTGTACAGAAAAATCTAATCATCATCTTTGTCCCCCTCTGCCTCTCTCCACTGTCACTCCCTCCATCTGTCCAGAGTAAGGATAGTAAGACTCCTCTCCACATGGCAGCTACTCATGGAAGGTTCTCCTGCTCGCAGGCCCTCATTCAAAATGGTGAGAGCCTGCACAGCATGATGTTTGCTTCATGACTGAATTCAAATTAGTTTGCATGCCTTGGTAGTGATTGTAAATGTGGCACAATAAAAGGGGTTTCAATGGAAATGCAGACATATACCCTTTATTTATGTGTGTGCAGGAGCTGAGATCGATTGTGAGGACAAGAGCAGAAACACTGCCCTTCACATCGCTGCCCGCTGTGGCCATGAGCTCATCATCACAGCACTCATCAAACACGGAGCCAACACCGCCAAGTTAGTAACAACTGACATTTAACCATCTGTCTATCTTCCCACTGAACATAATTTGTTATTTACTAAAAAAACAATGTGATGAGTGGAGATAAACTCATCAGAAACCATTCTTTCAACCTCCTTTTTGTTTTGCTCCATGTTCTCATCCCTTACCCTCCATGTCCTGTGATGACTTGCCTTATCTGCCTTTTAATTTTTTTTAGGAGAGGCATTCATGGTATGTTCCCCCTACACCTGGCAGCTCTCAGCAGCTTCTCAGATTGCTGCAGGAAGCTGCTGTCCTCAGGTACATTCATGCTGACACCATTCTTGCCACTAGAATTAACTAGTTGACATCCTTATTGATGCTGATTTCATATTGGTGCAGGGTTTGACATAGACACCCCTGATGACTTTGGAAGGACCTGTCTACATGCTGCTGCAGCTGGAGGGTGAGTCATCATTCCTGCTTACAGCCTTATTGTTGTTTCATTTCTCACTTTCTTTTAATGATTTTCTTTGTTGCTTATTTAACAGTGTAACCTTTTGTTTAATGTTTTCTCTCTATTTAGTGCACTTTTTTTATGTTCTGTATTTAGTTGACTTGTGTTTTTATCACAAACAGAATGCACATGATTACAATAGATTTGGTATGTCAACAAAGCATAACTGTTAAAGCTGTCTCTCCAAACAGGAACCTGGAGTGTCTGAACCTGCTGTTAAACATAGGAGCGGACTTTAACAGGAAAGACAACTTTGGAAGGTGAGACAGGCATGCAGTTTAATTCTAGAAATGCTAGGAATAGAAGGTCTGAAGACAGGGCAAGACTTTCGACTACATTTCGGGGAGTAGAGGGAGTATGAAGGTATGAAGTCCTCGCTGGAATATATAATAGCTGACGATGACTCTCTGCACATCCCAGGACTCCACTTCACTATGCATCAGCCAACTGTAACTACCAGTGTGTGTTTGCTTTGGTGGGCTCCGGGGCAAGCATCAATGAGCTGGACCAGAGAGGCTGCAGCCCCCTGCACTATGCTGCTGCAGCTGACACTGATGGAAAGTAAGTTGTACTATGTGTTTAATTGATATAGTTTTTATTTAAGTATCAAAGAATCCTCAGTGTCAGATGAAGGCTCTTTATAGTAAAAAAAAACAAAAACGTGTTCTCTTTTGTCTTTGTCAGGTGTGTGGAATACCTGTTGAGGAACGATGCTGATCCAGGAGTGAGAGACAGGCAGGGTTACAGTGCAGTGCACTATGCCTCAGCCTACGGACGCACACTCTGCCTAGAACTGGTGCGTAACAGCTACCGCACTGAGTGAACATATGTTGCATGTCCTACACGGAGGGTCAGAAACATCTGAAACATCACGCAAATTAAATCTGATGTCTTCCATGTGATAAAATGTTTTAGAACTGTAGAGAAAATTACAGTACACATGTTCACTTGTCATGGTATCATAAACAGTCTTTGTCTGTGTTTCTTTCAGATGGCAAGTGAAACACCTCTTGATGTGGTAAGAAAGAAATTCCATCATCCACTGTAACACAATGAGCACTTACATTGATTCGTTGTACGTAGCTCCCTCTGTTGGGCAAATGGGGAATATGGTGGTTAGGCAGATAAGACCTAAAACGTCTACTATATTTAATAAATATCGAGCACATGGAGCAGTGCGACTGGATTAATGTCGGTGCGACTTTAATGAGGCAGTGACTTGTCAAGGGCACAAACGTGGATCTAAAATGAGGTATAAGTTGAGCATCTCTGTATTTCAGTTAATGGAAACATCAGGAACAGACATGTTGAGTGACTCAGAGAGCCATGCTCCCGTCAGTCCACTCCACCTGGCGGTAAGTATTTGTCAGTGTCTGTGTATTTTGCTTTTCACATCCAGGATTTCACTGTCTCTGCCCTGTCTGATACAATTGGACATCAAAAAAGTATGTGTGTGGCGCCTTAGGCTTAGTCCTTACCGCAGTTGCCTTAGTTCAAATCCAGTCGTTGCCTTTTTCTGCACGTCATCCCCCCTCTATCTTCCCTTTCCTGTTCAGTTAAGCTATCAAAATAAAGGCACAAAAAAACAATAAACGGGGGATAATAAATAGAAACAAAGTAAATTTTGAGTCCTGGGTGTGTGTCTTCGTTGATTTAGGCTTACCACGGACACTGTGGAGCTTTAGAGGTTCTCTTGTCGTCCCTGCTGGAAGTGGACGTTTGCAGCCCAGACGGCCGGACGCCCCTCAGCCTGGCCTGCTCCAGGGGTCACCAGGAGTGTGTCTCTCTGCTGCTGCACCATGGCTCCTCACCAATGACCCGTGACTACACAAACAAAAAGACAGCCATACATGCTGCAGGTATACATACAGTTACACACAGCCATAGAAATCTGTTTGAATGTAACACCTTTACATCACACGAAGGAGATTTATTTATTTTCTGGCTTTAAAAATGGAAAAACGTGTTGTTGCTTTGGAAAAATAAGTCATGTCAAAGCATGTGTGTGTCTGTCTGCCATAGCTATGAATGGCCACCCAGAGTGCCTGCGCCTGCTCATGAGCAACAACAACCAACACATTAATGTGGACGCACAAGACGCCAACGGACAGTGAGTGCGTGTGTGTGTGTGTGTGTGCGTAGTCAAAATGGCTCAGGCTGAAGGCTTTCATTACCTTCTCATTGCTCAAACTAGCTTCACTGGAAATCTAAATAAAATAATTGATTTATTTCCGCACCGTTTACAGGACTCCTCTGATGTTAGCAGTGCTGAATGGACACACAGAGTGTGTGTACTCTCTACTCAGTCAAGGAGCCAGTGTGGAGAATCAGGATCGCTGGGGGAGGACAGCACTACACAGAGGGGTGAGAAACATTCACTACCACCCACTAACTTAATATTTTATTTTAATATTTTTTATTTTTTTTTACTTTTTTATGACTCTGTCCAGCCAGCTGTCCATCCATTTATCCTTCACATGCTTGTAAATGCTTTAAGGGAATTTCTTCGAATTGACCTCGAATGTCCACTTGGACTCAGGATGAACTGATTAGAATTTGGTAGTCAAAGGTCACTGTGACCTCACAAAACACATTTTTGGCCATAACTCAAGAATATTTGTCAGACATTGACTTGGTTGCACTTTTGACTCAAAGGTCATTGTGACCTCAAAATAGTTTTTTTTTAACTATTATGTAAGAATGAACATCCAGATTTAACATACACATTTACTGGGATGACACAATGAGTGAATGACATCCATCTCATCCATTATGCCTTACATGCATGCATCACATGTTTTGTAGCTATACTCTATGAGAATTCATCTTTACATAATAATCAAGTACACGTGTACCTGTTTAGTCAATACATCTATGATAATCCTTCCTTAAATAGTTCAAAAATGTATATTCACTAGCAAAAACGTCCATTTAGCCCAATAGACACTTTATACTTTTTATTCAATTCCTCCCAAGTTTTCACCAATCACCACAAATATTATATGAGTCTGGACAGACATGGATATAAACTGCAACTTGACTGGTGGCAGAGGCAGACAACCCGGCACAGTAATTCTAGTTTCTAATGTGTTTCCGACTCTGTAATCTTTCACACAGGCGGTGACCGGCCAGGAGGAGTGTGTGGAGGCCCTCCTCCAGCGGGGGGCCAGCGTGTGTGTCAAAGACATCCGTGGCCGCTCCCCTCTCCACCTGGCATCTGCTTGCGGACGTGTGGGTGCTCTAGGTGCTCTGCTGCAGGCCACCGCCACCAGCTCACACACTCACACACACCTCACTGACAACCAGGGCTACACACCTCTGCACTGGGCCTGCTACAACGGTACTGGGACACAGCATAGCACACCTGAGAAACATGTCTGTATGAAGCCACTGCAGAGAAGTATTGTACATTTGTTCTTCCCTTTGAACTCCTGTCCTCTTTCTGTTTTCCTAGGATATGATGCTTGTGTGGAAGTGTTGTTAGACCAGGAGGTGTTCAAGAAGATTAAGGGCAACTCTTTCAGTCCACTGCACTGTGCTGTGTAAGATAATGTGTCTGTTTGTAGCAATGACTTCGGTTACTTTTACTTGTAATGTAGACAGACAGTGGGGGTATGTGACGGTGTGTGCTGTGTGTTTCAGTATGAACGATAACGAGGGAGTAGCTGAGATGTTAATCGACTCCCTGGGCGCAACTATCGTCAACACCACTGACTCTAAGGGCAGGTGAGAGATGCAAACAGACTCAAACCCACCACGTTTTTTATGAAAGTTGTTCGGGGTTAGCCCAAGCTTTGCTGATATATTGTTGTCGATACAGGACCCCTCTTCACGCCGCAGCTTTTTCCGACCACGTGGAGTGTGTTTCCCTGCTGCTGAGCCACGGAGCTCAGGCAAACGTAGTCGACACCCACTTGTGCAGGACGCCGCTTATGATGGCAGCTCTCAACGGACAGACCAATACTGTGGGTCAGTACATGCGCTGACACGTAGTACACACTATTGGCCTTTTATTTATCTAAACCTTTTGACATGTAACTATCTCATGTGTTGCAGAGGTGTTGGTGAGCAGTGCTAAAGCAGACCTGGCACTACAGGATTCACACAGGAACACAGCATTACATCTGGCTTGCAGCAAGGTAACAATTCACGGGAAAGAGAGAGAGAGACAGGAAATGCTTTTTTTTTATTGGCTGGCTGTGGTGAAATGTGGATATTAACATGTCACCAAGCACATATGAGCACCTCTGACCTAACAGTGGTTACAATGGGACAACTGTACTTTCCTCTCAGGGTCATGAGACGAGTGCCTTGTTGATCCTGGAGAAGATCAGCGACAGGAACCTCATCAACTGCACCAACGCTGCTCTCCAGACGTACGTAGTACTCCCAGTTGTGCAGCAGTGTAATATACAAAGTTCAGACTGGACTGGTTTTTACATTTGCATCTCCCTCCACCTTCCTGCAGGCCCCTGCACGTAGCAGCCAAGAAGGGATTGACAGTGGTGGTCCAGGAGCTGCTGGGGAAAGGAGCCAGTGTGTTAGCCGTGGATGAGAATGGTCAGTGTTCATCTTACCATTCACACGTATTTCTACAGTGAAATGTGACTTTTTTATTCACTCACTCCTCTCTTATCTGCAGGTTACACTCCAGCTCTGTCCTGCGCTCCCAACCGCGATGTGGCCGACTGCCTGGCGCTCATCCTCAATTCCATGATGCCCACCTCCCCTATGGTCACCATCACAGCTTTGCCTGCGCTTTCTCTTACGCAGACAGTCATCAACCACCACCCCACTAACAACCACATCTCCAAAGGCGTGGCCTTTGACGCCCCACCGCCTCTGAGGCCTGACCATGCCTCCTACTGCAGGCCAGAGCGCCCGCTATCCTCCATCTCTGCGGACGATGAACTGAATGATTCCGATTCAGAGACATACTGAGGACATACCTGCTATTGGACAGCCCTAAAATACTGGCAGGCTAGCCAGCCACTCAGGAGCCTTAATAGATCACTGGCAAGGAGCTAAAAGAGAGAAAAGAGGGAGAAAGTAGGGCCAGTTGTTTTTAGGCAGGCCTCTTCCAATCAAAAAATAACCCTTGTTGTGCAAAACCCGTGTGGTGGAAAATAATGTACTAAAATATAGAATAAGGTGAATACGCACTACATTTCTCTCAGACAGTATCACTTTATGGTCTGTAACACGGCCAGTGTCTTTTTAAATTTAAAGTGATGGTTTCTTCTTTTTAAATTAAGCTCATACTATTTGATGATCCTTTCTGTAGTAGTTTTAAGCCTTTTCACAATTTTCCCTTCAACTATTACTAAAAGGGCCTCTACTGAAGACGAGCTCAGAGGACTGCTTTTTTTTAGCACAATTGTCAAAAGGAAAATCAGAGGGACAATCTTACGGGACCAGGTCATTTGTTACTGTTTTCCCTACTGTACTTTTGAGTTTTTATTCAGAGTTCTTCTTCGGGCTACCATGGGAGACGTTGATGGCTGTCACATTGGTAATGCTGCGTAAATTGTTCTTAAAACCACTTTTCAATTCCGAAGAGAGGAAGTGATTATTGAATCCTATAAAGTGGAATCCCTGGGAACTTATTCTGACAGCAGGTGGATGTAAGACCCATTTACTGTACGATTGGTCCAGGAGACAGATCTGAAATGGCGGCCTGGGGAACTTTTAACTTGCAATGCTGTAACTACTCAATGTCGGTGTACTGTACTGGAGATGGGGGGGGGGAAAGTGGCTCACACTGTGTATACGTGTGTGTGTGTCGTGTTGTGGTGTGTGTGTGAGAGAGAGATGTGTGTGTTTGTGAGAAAGAGAGAGAGGGAGAGAAATGAATTAATATTGCCTTTTAAGGAACAAGCTACTTTCAGGCAGAGGTTGAACACTACTTGGTGCAATGTTTGTAAAGATTAAGTAATGGATGAATAAAGATATTTGTTTTTGATTTATTGCAGTTTGTATATGACAGAATACAAATTTGTGACAGCTGAATTGTCATTACCAGTCTTGGTCAGAACGTATTTTTTATTTATTTGATATTTTTCTCATCTATTCCAAAGCAATTCATTCATTGTCCAGGTGATACATCCGTCCGTACAGACAGGCAGTGACCAGCCCACCAGTCATGTTTGAGTGTTTCATGGTCACTCTGCCATCTGCAGCTTTTTCCAGATGCTCCGGCTGCTCCAGGACCAGCTTGCTAGTCAAAACTGATGGGTACACGTATCTGGTCCCAAACTTCCCCTCCAAAAGGAAGTCCAGTTTAGACTCGGCCTCTCCGACTTCCTGTCCACAGGATGCGGCGTCCAACCCTGCACAGCGGACCAGAGCACACACCTGCAGCAGAGATGTGATAAATATTAAAACTCTCACGAAGCAATTTTAAATACCCAAACTTCTCATTCATACCTGTAGGGCATAGCGTCCGTTCACGGTGTGTGTTCCAGAAAACGCTCCCAATGCGTAGAGCTCTCTACTGCTGCCTTGTGGTAACCGACGGTACTGCAGGCGGCAGCAAAACGTGCCATTGCACACCTTCACTTCACCCTCTGTCTCGTTTAAGAAGACAAATGTAAATGGGTCGTACATCATGGATGAGATGAAGGTGGGAGGGACCGGAGAACCAATTTCCAGAGAAGGAGAACAGATCTCTTTGTCACAGTATCCAGATCCTGTAGCTGTAGATGATGTGGACTCAGCTTCCCCCTTCTCTGTGGCCACCCTCTGGCCCACCCACAGTGGGTCTAAGACTGGCACCCTGGCCACCACCAGCCTGCCCTCCTCTGGGTCTCCTTTCTGTGCGTGGTGGTAGGTGGCAGAAAAAGGGGTGTAGATACCACTTCCTGTCATGATCAGTCCGTCATTACGAATGTTGGCTGCTAGCACGGTGACATTGGCACCCAAGCTGATCCCCTGCTGGAACTGGATCGTGTCCAGTAGGGGGAGCTGGTTCATCCAGGCTGTGGGGAAGATCAGCTGACGCGTCCCCTAAAAGGAGATCAAAGTGAGATGGATGTTAGAAAAAGAGAAGAACGAACACCGGAATGTAGGGTTGGATCCAGAATTTGAGTGGTTGTCTATCTACCTCCTCCACCAGGGTTATTGTGGGCTTGTGGAACAGGATGTCGAAGCAGATGATGAGACCAAACCTCCCAGCAAAAGGTGTATCAAACGTTATGATCTCAGGTTGCGGCGGAGTGTCAAAGGCGTTCTCAAAGTAGAGGTTGTACTTATGGTAGCGTGCAACCAGCAGACCATCTGACCTGTATGAAAGAAGATACTCTGAACTGTTCACATAGACTAGAAAATGATGTACTGGTGCTCTTGCTGGGCTTCAGCTAAACTTCTTCTATTTTAAAGGTCTACACGGCACCTGAAGACCACATTGGTGTTGAACTGCCAGCGTCCGTCAGGGGGACAGGAGGAGGAGGGGTCTGTCTTCAGGGGGCAGGGCTGCAGGTCAGGCATGTTGGCCACCAGGTAGAGGTTGTGACGTCGGGCCATACAGCTCAACCGCTGGAGAACCTGTGAAACACAACCACACGCCAATATGGTTTCTATTCTCCATGTCAGTGTATTAGAACACCTGCTCAATAACAACAACAAAATGAAAAGTATTGTTGTGCACCTCGGTGTTGTTGTATTTGCCCGGCTCCACGCAGGGGTTCCAGCTCTCTTCCTGGGGGTCAGGAATGGTTTCCAGGTAGCCAGAGATGGATGAACGGCTGAAGTTGAAACCATGAAGACCATCTTCTGGAAACACCAGGATCTGAGCACCCTGGCCATGGGAAGATAAGACAGGAGACATCTACTGTATAGAGTGTGTCATGATCCCTGTGACATTAAAAGTGCTTCTTCATGTGAGCATAGAGAAACACAGCCGCTCCTGATGACTGAGTTTACACCAACTTGTTTTCAGTACCCTGCTATCACAAGTTTAATTTAAGTTTAACTTATTGTTATCCTGACAGTGCTTTTTAATTATTCCCTGTTTCCCTGGTCTCTGGTTATGATACAAGCTCAGATAACTGTTAAATATTCTACCATTTACAGCAAGTGACGATGGCAGTGACATTTGAGACTTCAGTTGGGGTCCAAGGACCAACAGAGTGAAAGGTTTGAGTTAAAAATTAAAAACAAGATAATAACTGACTGGCTATGGAAAAAAATGTGACATGCAGAATGAACCACCTTATTTTAAAGCTTATAAATTTGAAGGTAAGAAGTGAGCATTAAGCAGCACTGTCCCTTTTGACTGAAGCATATGTCCCCTGTACCTGCTGAGCGGCCCGGGCAGCCTGCTCCTCGTAAACATCCAGGTTTTCGCGCATGTGTCTCAGGGCAGCGGCGCGGGACAGCGGGACATCAGGGTGCGGGTTCAGGATTACTTTGTGCTCGTACACAGCGGCAACGTACGAGGAGCCCACAACGGGTTCCGTCCGCACAGCGACCCACATTAAAGGAAAACTCACAAACAAGACACAAAACAAACACATCGTTTGTTCCCTGAAAGACATGAATGGCGTAACCCTGACGGGACAGTTGCCACAGAGCCTGAGGGGTCAGTAGTCCTGCTGGAGGTAAACTGCTGACTCAGCTGACTCAGCTGACTCATTTCTCGGTTTAGAGGTGATTTGATGTGTGCGATATGAATGTGGATGGTCGTAGTTTTTGCAGCAGCTCCACGTTTTACATTTCACATGCGGACGGATCAGAAAATAGCTTGTTCACGGCAACCAGGCAACTAGACATAAACAAAACTTTTAATTTGAAAATACAATACAGGAAGCATTAGGAATATAACCAGGAAGTACACAAATTGGACCTTGTTTTCTTTCTACAGCCAGCATCAAGTTATTTGTTTTTGTTTTTTATTATATAAAATAAAACTTTATTTTAGGTTTAGGTTTTTGGCCACAATTACTTTTCATTATTCTTTTGCTCATTAGTTGAGTTAGTGTTTCTTGTTTGTTTCTGTTTGATCAATAAATGCATCACTGCAAACTGCAGTGTAAATGGAAATCTGATACACACACTATAAACATTATTATAATTTAGCCAAATCATCACAAACTTGCTACAAGTATACTGTATATTTGTAGACACGAGATAAATTAACTATTTAAATATGTTCTATTATTTGCATACAGTTATAGGAGCTCCAGAGGTCTGCAGATAGAAGGTCAGACGTGCTCCACCTCCACACCGACTGACTGCCTGAGGGAGACACACTGTTGACAGACAGCAGTGCAGCATGGGATTGAATTACAGTACAATATATCTGAATATATCCCTCGCCTTTTCCCTGATGGTCTAGGTCTATAGAGTTAAAAGTTAAAAACAATGTAAGAACTGACTGCTGCTGTGGTCAAACATACTGTAAGGGGTTTGACTTCATTAGTTCCCCTCTTTTAAAGCTTCACTGCATCTGACAGAACGAGCCACCTTATTTTCAAACATTTAATTTTGAGGGATGTGAATACTACATAAACAGAACTGTTATTAATGAAGTGAGCAATAAGCAACATTGTACCTTTGACTGAAAAAGCACAGACAGACAGTCCCTGCTGAGCGGCTGAGGGTTTTCTGCATGTGTCGCAGTATTAGGGAAACACAGAGAGAGCTTATAGATCTCTTAACACACCGGATTGTTTAGTAGAATATATGTTAAGTTATAGTTTGTCTATTTCTTTTGTTCATAGACTTAATGTACTCTGAACTATCCCCGGTTCTACATACTCCGGTACGGTAGGGGGCGCTGTGCAGCTGTAAATCACAATCCGCCAAAACAAACACAAAACAGTAGGAGAGGAAACAACCTGGAAGTGCTTTACAAACGTAAACTTCTACAGCCTGCATGAGCACGACCCGAGGAAGACTGTGGTTGCACCTTCGTCTCACGTGAACCAATTGTTTAAACACTGGTTTAGAAACGGACTGTTGTTGACGTTGTCGTGTTTTATGTGACTCCTCCGTACGTTGTTGTTGTTGTTTTTAAACGAGGTCGTGTGTTAGCATTAGCACCATAAACACCTTGGGCAATGTCACCAGCAGCAGAAGCCCCGGCAGCAGGGGCAGATACCGCCGTGTCCAAACCCAGCCAGCTGTTCAAGAGCTGCTGGAGCTGCCGGGTCCTCTCCGGGGGGGCTCTGGTCCTGTCCGCAGCCTATGTGTTCAACGCAGCCCGGAGGGTGATGCTTAAAGGGGGACCTACCTCCATGGGGACGGTGGCTCAGATTACATTCGCTGCTAGTAAGTTACGTTTTAAGGTGGTAACGTCGCATCATGTTGTCCTCTTTAAAAATAATACATGCACACCTGTGTTTGTTTGTTTTGTTTTTTTTAGGTCTGGCTGCATGGGGGGTTGTTGTGATCATTGATCCGGTAGGAAAAGCGAAACAGAAGACGCATAGGGTTTCTGGAAACTCGTGAATGAACATTTAAATGCAAAATACATGGACTGGAAGCTGTCGGGCTTGTTAATGGACAATAGGACACCGAGCCTGGGAAGCTGGAAAAGGATGTTTGCACTATTTGTGGAGTAACACAGACATCAGATCAGATCTGTGTTGGCATTGTGTGGATGAACCAAGCATTCACAATTTTGGAAGCTTTTGATGGGTTGAATTAAAAGTGAAAGAGATTATATAATGTATATACATGTTCTCTGTCATCCTTCAAATGTTATGCATGAAAACATTTCTTGTATTTCTCAATTTGTGGCATTTATTGTAAAAACAGTGATACCTGTAAGTGAAAACCTGCTTCAGGTGTCATTATCAGGACGGAGTATTTAAGAATAGGACAGTACATTTGAGCGTTCATGACTACAGTTGTTAGGACATTTGCTCAGAGCTGCCATGATACGCTGAATGAAGCAGCTGTATAGGGCCCATGAGCTTTAAAAATACTATTGAATTATGTTCTTCCTTCCAGGCAGTGCTGTTTTCCATATATAGTTGATGTGTAATGTTTCAAAATGGTGGTTTTAAGTAAGCAGCATGGTGTGAGCCCTCTGCCTTTTGCTCCACAGAGAGATCGGTCATTAGCAGGAAACATACATGACAAGTACAAGATTACAGCCAAAATAAACAGTTTGACCTGTATAATTAATACTCTACTTAGAAATTGTATCTGTACTACTGATAAAAGGGCTACAATTCCTACGCTGCCTGATATGAATGTAAACACACTCAAAATAACTTTCTTAAAGGACCAGTGTGTAAGATTTAGTGGCATCTAGCAAAGAATTAGCAGATTGCAACCAACTGAACACCACTCGAGTCTGTATTTAATGACCTGGGAATGAGAGGTGTGTAAAATAAACTATGGTGGCCACAGAAAACGCGAAAGGCCCCATCTACAGCAAGAGCTTGGTTTGTCCATTCTGGGCTACTGTAGAAACATGGACTCCATGCAAGGCAACCTGTGGCTGTAGATAAAAACAACTCATTGTAAGGTAATGAAACAAAATTCCTATATTCAAGTGATTACACACTAATGAAAACATACCTATGAATATAATAATACATTTCTGCCAATCGATCCTCTTAAATGTTACACCCTGGACCTTTAAGTCTTTATTTCAAGTGTCATTGTGTCAAATATTGCATTGTAGACAGCACTGAGCAAGATTATATCAGTAAGCGGCCTACGCTGCCCTGCAAAGCTCACTCCAAATGCACCAGACCAGCAAACATACTGAAGACAGCACACACACTGTAGATCAGTTAGTCTGAGTTACCTTTTATTAGTGTTATACTGATCTGAGCACAGTTGCTCACAAGGAAGAGTTTGATAAGCATGATGCAAAAAAACACCCTAAAGTCATTTTCAGTCGCGTAAAATGATCATGACATTCTGATTGATTTTTTTTAGGTTAAAGAAAAATATGAAAATAGAGTTGACAGTACATTTAGGCACACTATAACACATACTGTACACATATATGCACAATTTTTATTATCATAGATTATCATAAATACTGGGGTTAAAAAAAAAAGACAAGCCTTCCTGTAAGGAGAGGTGTGCAGAAAGTTACAGGTGACACCTTCTCCTCCACCGTGGGGACAAAATATTCACCTCCCAGTGAGTGAGGCTCCAGTTCATGTCCTGCTCAGCCTATCAGAGTCCACCAGGGCTGCTCAGTGCAAGCAAATCCAAGCAGGCGAGGAAGTTCCATCCAATGACGGCAGCAGAATGGGGCTCCGTCCGGCCGGTTGCTACGTTAAGTGCTCATTAGCAGTGATTCCATTGCTCACAGTACATGGCTTTCCTGTGAGCCTGTTGGACAGAAGGAGAAGTGGGGCGTTTCCCTCCGACTGTCAGTTCATAACAACAAAGATCGGTTCACACTTAACAGAACAGGCTTGAATGCATAAAACGCCACTTATGAGTTTAAAAAGAAACAGTTGTTTTAGGCTGCCTCTGAACTAACTATAGCCCAATGAGCTAATCATTGGGGCTACCACACAGAAAACCCTCTGCCACTGCCCAAAACACAGATTCTGTATGAGTTGGTGAGGGATAAGTGAAAAAATAACCCCTCACGCACCAAAAAACAAAAACAAAAACAAAAACTCAGACTTATAAAACAAGTCTGTAAAATAAACATTGTACTTTTACAACAACGGAATGTTAAGTTGTTGGGATAAGAAGACATTTCTGGGGAAACTTCTTTCATGTTTTCTACTATTAAAACAATATGAATAACTTTTTTTTCTCAGTATACAATGATTCAAAATGCACATGCATTAAAGAAAAAAAAAATATTGCACAAAATTAAAGACATTTTCTCTGAATAAAAGTGATTAGGGATATATCTCCATATCTCTATCTCGATTTCCTTGTAATGTTCAGTCGTGTGGAGGAGAGCTACCTGTAGCGAGCGTCTCTTGGTCAGTATATACTGTATGTAGTTTTAAGGCTGGTTTACTAGCTCACACTGGCACAGTTTCTGACTGAAGATGGTTGCATCTTCGTGCTAAACACACACACGTTCACACACACACACACACACACACACACACACTTACACAAAGTTCTACACGAGCCAAATACAGACTGGACCAGAGAGTACATTCTTTGATGGTGCACCTGGACAGCCAGAGCTGAGCCTCCCACAACTGTAACACACTTCGGTGTGTGTCCTCACAGTCTCGCCCTTTAGGTCATCTTTGCATTCTCTCTCCTCGCATGATTAACGATATCGAAGCACAGTAATGTTCAGAGTATCCCAACATCAAACCAGTGCACACACGTATGGATCAGCATGAGCTTTGGTCGTCACGGGTTATGACAGTAGCCTTAAAGGGGGTGTGGCCTATTATTTGAGGATGATGGGTGGTACAGATGATGCAAATACTTTGGAAAGAAAGAAAATAATAATTCTCATCATGTCTCACGAGAAGCACTGAGGCTAGAAAATAAATTGCGGACAATAAAAATCTAAATCATCCTTTCGACCCATATTTGTTCAGTCACATTTTAAAAACAGCGCCTTTTTAACCCAGTGCTATTGACATTTTTGGTTGCTATGAAAACAATATATAATTTGCATGTTAGCAAGTGTGCAGCTTTTGCAGATAAAATGCCTACAGCATGAGGGTAAGTTTGACTACAGCTGAGTGGCCAGGTCGCTGAGATGGTAAGACTGCGCTGGCCAGAAGACAGAAGCGGGAAGGTAAGGCAAGGTGTGGGTCTATGCTATCTACTCCTGCAGTTTAAAAACAATACAGTATTTGTGGTCTGCTCTCTGGACCACAAGAACGCAGCATTGACTGGCCCAGGGTAAAGCTAAACACAAGTAAAAAGTCCAAAAAGGAGAGGAGGAAAGTATTTAAAAGAAAAGACTGCCACGTTCAGTCTTGGTGCAAATTACAGGATTTGTGTTTGCGCATGTGTGTGTGTCACAGAGTGAGAGGAGGGCAGAGTGTGCGTTGTTCATCCTTCACTTCTGTCTTGACAGAAATGATCAGCTGGATAATTGGAGTGTTTTCACTGAAAAGAGTGTGTGAGGGGAGTGGAAGGGCAGAAATCTCACACACACACACACACACACACACACACACACATTCCTCAACATTCACATCAAGCCCTCCACACTCTCACTCTCAGCTCTCAAGTCTGCGTGTGTCTAGTCGGCTCGTGTCCCGCTGCCTCTGTCCTCTCCTGTCACCTCTTGAGGGAGGAGGATTTGAGTTTCTGGCTGTATCTGTGGATTCGTGGCGAGCGCGAGTGCAGCTTGACAAAGAGCTCAGGGAATTTGTACTGGGGGAACATCGTCTCCAAGAAGCCCTCCAGGAAAACGTAGACTAGCCGGCGATTCATGGGTTGGTACTGAAACATGTCGAAGACACGGAGTATGCCCTTTCTTGTGGTATCCGCTCCGATGATGTGCTTCATCTCATCTGAGATAGGGAAAGAAATATAGTGGAGAAGTCAGGAGGGTGCACAGGGGAGGGGGTGATATAGAGGAACCTTTTTCACATGGGTTCATTTTTCCCCCTGAGCTCACACCAGGGCAGTGCTTAGGCTGACAAGAGGAGCACTTAGGCCACTTAATTGCCCCTTTGGTGTGGCATTAGGGAAAAAATGAAGCGTGGAAATTGGAGAAAATGAACGTGATGAAAACATACCACCATTCTTTACAAAATGGTGAAAAAAGGACAGTTGCCAGATCTACATGGGCATCTTTCAGTCGCTTGTCCTAGTAAGTATTTAAATGGGGCATCCTCTTCGCCTCATTGTGGTGGATAAAGTCTTTTTACACTGAAATCAGTGCGTGTATGCAGGTTTTTTAAACATGGGTAAAACTGCTACAACTAGGCAATAGGGATGTCACGATACCAGAATAGCAGTCGATACCAATACCAGTAAAATTCCACGATTCTCAGTACCAATTCAATACCACAGTATAAATGTCCCAATCAAGTTTGCCCCCGATTCCCATTTAATATCTGCTGGGAACAGTAAGTCCATTCCACAGTCAAAAATAAACCCTGACAAGCCACACAAACGTGGGATTTATGTTGATCGGAAGAGCTTTCCAGCAGTCTGTTTCAGTTGTACAAGACAGAAGGCCTCAAGCATGAGGTAAGTGGATGAGGAAGTCCCAAAACGGGTCTGGGTGAAACTAGATTAAGTGTGTTTTCACCTGGCATGATGCCCAGCAGGTTGGTCTTGGCAGCTACTCGTGTCCTCATGCGGATGCTCTTGTCCCGGCGGGGCGGCGTCTCAGCCAGAATACCGTTGGGCCAGTAGGAATCCCTGTATAGATAAGGAGCAACTGAAGGTTATTCAAAATTCTTCTTACCACTCTTTTAATTATTGAAAGAAAATGGTAGGGGTTACCTGAACTTCTTGACATAGTCTGCAACCTGCTCTGGTGAGGTCAAGTAGTCCACATGATCCACAATTTTCCTTCACAGAAAAAAGGAAAGATGATTCAGGTTGTGCTGTGTAATGCTATCCACTGCCCTTTGTTTTGTACAAGACTATGACAAATTTCCTGGAGCTCTGAACTTGTGTGTAATGTTCAGTTTAAGTATGTGCACACATCCTGTCTGCGCATCCTGGGTCATGAGATATTTGTCGGAAATACCGTATCTTGGTTTAAACAGTTAACAAATCAAGTCACCTCATTTCGCTTCACCA